TACACCATCTCACTGTTTGAGCTTGCCCAGACCCTTAGATGCTCAAAAGGGACACTTCTCAGTCCAACGAACTTCATAAGCATGGTTGATGGAGATGTGAAAAGTTGTCTTCATGGTGGTCATTGATTTGCCTTCATGATTTGTCCATATCTGTTAGTTTTCTGTCACTGAGAAAAAACCTCTTTATTCCAGATTTCTCTCCACTCCCAACTTTCTAATTATATGCACACAAATGGACAAGACCAAAACTGCATTAATTTGAAAAATAAATGCATGCAAGCACACTTCAGTCCATGAGGAAAATGCATTAAAATGTGCAAATTAAGAAACATGTTTAAAATTCTGTACAGTAGAAGACATGCATATCAAAATGTGCATGGAGTCATGTACAGGAAAAGGAGGGAAACTGACAATCTGACACTTCAATAGGATGAAAACACTGTGGGGTTTAGAGGGAAGACATGAAAATGGCATTTTCATACATCTAAAATTTTCCTTTAAATGCTCACATCTAAAGTCTCCTATAGCTGCAAAATAAGAACTATACTAAATGATGAATTAAGCTTCTCCTTTTCAAGGAGAACCCACCCATCTCCTTTCAGAAAACCAGCCTCCATGTCATCTTCAATAATTTTTCTCTTACGGATAAAAGGAAGGCTTCATAAGACATAACCTTTGCAATTAAACTTGCATTTGCAATCTGTTCCCTCAGAAGATCTCTTCTCCTCTTAAATCTCATTGAACTAGACCTTAATTGTAGTGAACAAAGATGCAAGGCACCATGGGAGGAGAGCCTTTTGATCTAATGGATCGTTTTGGATGCAAACTCAAGTTCTGTCCCTTCCATTGCTGACAGGCATCTGCCTCTTTCCAGTAGAGGCCTGCCATCCTATAAATAGGCCTATGTTTTCGCCTCATTGGGCACAATTTAAAATTGTGAGAACTGAAGCAAAAATGCAGGCAATTTTTCAGACAACCCCTACCTTGCTTTCAGCATCTGAAATACTGATATAGCCAACTCGTGTAAAGGATTGTGCAAACCTCAGCCCTCCAAGACGAATTCATTCTCAGTCCTCTTTCAAGGCTTTTGACTCTCTCACTTCCCCTGTTCTCTACTGTTTTCTTTTCCTTGTCGAACAGGCTTGCACGACTTTTGCATTAAGGATTCAATTATTTGGATCAGGTTCTAAAAATAACTCCAGCTCTGATACCGCATAATCCGACAGGGCTGATAAAATACAAGCAGGAGTGCCTAAGGAAATATTTAGAATGTGCTGCTATGGTTACTCTCTGAATGGCGTTAGTGCTTCTCCCTCTCAGCTTCAAAAATCCTATACAAAAAGATACCCATCTCTTTCATCAGCTGCTGAGCTTGACTTTGAAACTACTTCAGAAAGAAAGAACTTTCTTCTACTTCTTTCTACATAGGAATTCGCCTATCTACTAACTAAAGGTGGAGTATATCTGAGTCAAAGCACTGTCTCTGGGTAAATTTGGGTAAAAATACCACCCTAAAAGGACAATAGCATTTCAGATCCTCAAATGCATTTGCTTTTTTACTATTCTAGTTTTAGAAATGCAGAAAACACAGTGAGTTGGAGGATCTGGAATACAATTACTATTAAAAAATCTGGAATGTTGTTGGTTTCTACAGTTTCAGAAGAGAACCAGCATGGTAAAGTGGTTTGAGGTTTGAACCGTGATTCTAGGAGACCTGGGTTTGAATACCTGAGGCCCACTGAAAGACCATGGGTAAGTCACCTCTCTCAGCCCCAGAGGAAGGCTAAGGCAAACTGTCATTGAACAAATCTTGCTAAGAAAATCCAATGATAAATTTGCTTTGCGGGTCTTCGTGGAAACAACTTGAAGGCACACAGCAATAAGAAGAATTGTTGATGCCCTAAAAATGATAGGAAGGGGAGCCTGTGAAGCCTCCCCACCCCACTTTTTTGTGAATCATAAGCCTGAAGACAGAATCATAGAATCATAGAATAATAGAGTTGGAAGAGACCAGATGAGCCATCTAATCCAACTCCTTGCCATGCAGGAAAAGCACAATCATAGTAGCCCTGACAGATGACCATCCAGCCTCTGTTTAAAAGCCTCCAAGGAACGAGCTTCCACCACGCTCCAAGGCAGAGAGATCTACTGCTGAAAAGCTCTTAGAGTCAGGAAATTCTCCCTAATATTCAATTGGAATCTCATTACCTGTAATGTGAACCCAGTGCTTCAAGTTCTAGTTTCCAGGGCGGCAGAAAACAAGTGTGCTCCCTTTTCCTTATGGCATCCTTTCACATATTATTTACACATGGCTATCAGGTCTCCCCTTAGCTTTCTCTTTTGCAGGTTAAACAAACCCAGCTCTTTAAGATGCTTCTCATAGGGATTCATGGTCTCCAAACCTTTGATCATTTTAGTTGCCCTCCTTTGGACATCTTCCAGCTTGTTAATATCTTTTCTATTTTTCCTCAGTTTAACCACACAGGGTCATGCTGAATTATTTTTTAATATTGTTGCTGTTTTAATGTATATTTGGGTACCAGAAACAGTCCTTCCTCAAATTTGATATTTTTAGCAATTCAGTTATGACTAAATATAGATTCTAATGTTCCAGTGTTGTTTCTTTTAATGCTTTTGAACAGACTTTGTGTTTCACATGAGCAAATGTAAATGTTTAGAAAGTCCATTAGATGACTTCAAGCATTTTCTTACTGTTTACTGTTTACTCTCCGAAGAAAATTTAGTTACAAAATAAAAATGACAAGCAAGTTGTGAAAAATTGTACACGACAGGGCAAATCTGAGGTCATTTTTAGATTTAGAACCCCTAAGTCCCTATAAAACCAGCACACATTTTAAATACAGTTCAGTGACCCTCAATTTGGCAATACTGTGTCATTATTTGAAGTCATTCAGTGATCCTCTCTGTGCATTTCTTAAAAAAAATGATTATATGGAATGATTACTTGAGTTGAAATGTATTTCACAGGCAGTTACTGCTCACTATTCACCATATTTCAGCGTAGTAAAAGATAAATGGCACTGATATTTAACATCAGGAATGTCTCATCTCATCTTTTAACAATAATAGCACTTATCTATCATTAAGCGCAATTTTGTGTATCACAGTCTAGTGCCCTGAGCACATTTTTTGAAAAACGACTCACTGATTTCACTGGGATTATGCATCACAAATTCTGGTAAGGACTAAGGTAAAAGATAATATGGGGACACTGTCATATATTTTTTTAAAATAAAAATTTATAATGTCTTATTTTGATGAAAATTAGTAAACTATAATGTGGGATAGGCATTTAAAATATCGTTACCCCAATACCCTGAATGGTAGGCAGTTGCGGGGATGCAATGCTTATTAGATCTATATTTTCTTTGGAAGGAGGTCAGTGGAACTTTGTTGATATTTTCAGATATTTGAGCTTATTTAAACTTATGTAGGTTAAGCATAGCTGAGATTCAAATAAACACTTCAACAAACAGAAATACTCTGCTGTACTCAAAGCATCTCTAGGGAGACATGCATTCCCTCAAGTGCTGTCAGTTCCTTCAGAGTTTCAGATCCACAAACTCAATTCTCTGATTCTGTCCACATCTCCTGAAAAACTGAGTTTTCATCACACACTCCTCTGAGTTCCACATCCTTATTTGCTGTGGGGCAAGTTATTGCCTAACCCTTGAGAAATCCGGCTTCAGGCAATTCCAATCACAAAGGAAATTGATATGTTCTTAGGATCAATAGTAGTATCTGCATCTTTATTTTTATTAGATACCTTCAAGTACTGTCCAACTATGGTGACCCTTTCACAGGGTTTTCTGTGGCTGAGAATATGTAACTTACACTAGGTCGTTCAGTGAGTTTCCATGACTAAACAGAAAATCGAACTCCAGACTTCAAAGTAGTAACACAACACTCAAACCACTATGCCATACTGGTTTCTTACTTAGATCCAGATTTACAAACATACAGTTTTTCAGAAACCTCGACACTAAAGAAAATGCTATGAAAAGCCTGCTAAGTTATTGATAAACACAGAGGCATCGCTGTATTATAGAATAGCACTTATAATCCTAATATATTACTTTCTTCTGCCTGGTCCACATTCTTTATTAAAATATCATTAAAAATGAAGTTGACCACTCACATTTTCTGCTGATTACTGCAACTTACTATTCAATTTTTGTTTTGTAATGTCAGACATTTTGAGTGTAAAGTAGATGCAGCATAATGATTTCAGGTAAGACATAACAGTGAGAATACATGAATACTTAAGTAGAAAACCAACATCCTGCATCTGTGTAGATTTTCTTCATGCAAAAGGCAATGAAAAATAAGAAATTATATATTTATTTCTGAACAAAATATCAGGCGCTGAAGTTTTCCATCAATATTTTTGCTGGCTTTCTTTTTTTCAGAAATGACATTTTAACCTCATCCAAGTTTGTAATCAAGCCAAGAAAATTCAACTTTAAATAGCATCCATGCTGCCCTAGTTTTGGAAGTGCTAAGAAGAAGAAAAACAGAAATACATCCAATGGATCTATACATGGCGGACTTCATGCAACTTTATAGGTGCCATCTTCACCAAGTTCCATGTACAACTGGGAAATCCATTTTGAGGCAATGTATAGCACAAATATGAGTCAGGTATATAAATTCATATTTTGCGGAACAAAATGAAAACTACAATATATTAAAACATACATTATTAATTAATAAGTTGTAATAAGTTGCATTAACAAATTACAATTATTTATTTGTTGTATTAACAAATTAAAAGCTCCAGAAGTTCTGCACTGAAGGTATTATATGGTCTGGCATGCAAACATAACCTAAAGCAAGTTTGTCATGGAAAAAAAAATCTAGAATATTAGATTTAAGGCATTTCCACAATAATAATATAGGATTAATTATATATTTTTTGGACCCAGAGTCACTGCCCATCTGAAAATCTGTTCAGAAACAAAAAACAGTAGGAAACTTACTGACAGACAGGAACTAGTTCAATGTTGCATGTCCCTCCATTTTTGCAGTAGCCTTCAGGGCAATCTAGAAACAATATTGTTTAAAAGAGTAATTGTCAAGGACACTTGAATAAGTACACAATAAATCTTGGTTATAGTTAGAAAAATACAGTCAGGTCAATCATTTAGAGTAGAAGTGGAGGACATCTGAACTTCTACATGTACGTTATTCACATTTTACATCAGCATTGGACAGACTAGAGACTGGAGTTCAACATGGAAGGCAACATATTCCCTAAACTCTGATATAGGGCTCTTCCAGATCTGCTTTGACATATATTTCTCTCCCCATAACTCCCCACAAAAACTGGGCCTTCCCCACTGGGTGTCCACATGCCCTCCCAGAGAAGAGGCATGGCAGCCTAGTAAGTTTTTATTTTCTTTTAAGGGTTTTGGGGAGAAGGTGGGAAGGGGTTCAATGCTCTCCTCAGTTCTCTGGGCTTTTGGAAGCCAGAAGAAGTGAGATGGGTGTGGGAACTTGCCTCCGGGATTACCCAGGAGGCAGTCCCCAGAGGGCTCATACCACATTAGATCCGGTCCTTTCAGGAAGCCTCAGGTCTCATGGAATATTTGATTAATTCTCTTTTACCTGAGGCATCATTTGGACACCTCAGGTAAATGTCCCACAGGGCCTGCATTTTGGGCCCTGTCTGACGGGCCCTTAGAGAATAGTTTTTCATTACTCACTTCGTAATACACTTTTAAAAATAATTAATATGTCTTTTTGCCTAAGAAAACCCTATTAAATAAATGGGACCAAATCATGTCAACAGGCAGCTTAAAGACACATGCATTATATGAACAAATTGCTAAACAACTTCTCCTATGTATCTAAATTCACATATACAAGTCTAAATCCAATCGTTACTTCCATTTTTTGTCTGTTTTAAACTGTATGTGTTTTATTGTATTTTCTGCTTTTTTGTAAACAGTCCTGAATCTGAACCTGGGAGAAAGGCAAGCTGTAAATAAAATGATGGCTAGCTGGAACTAGAGTAGATCCAAGTATTGACTTGCTAAGTGAACACGTATGTAACTCCATTGCTCAAGTCTCTAGTTCAGTTGGGGGCAAACAATTGCATTTAGGTCATAGTTTATTGCCCTGTTAAATTTTATTTCAACATGTTAAATTCAGTGTAGCAAACCTGATTTCAACATTTTACTAGAAATTGTGAACAACATGGAAGATTTATCATATATGAAAAGACTGAAAGTTCTGTGTTCATGTATGCACTTTAATGCAGAGAATCTTAAAGGGTTAATATTCATTTAAAATCTGGACTTTTTAGGGAGGGGAACGTATGGATGAGCAATCATAAAAGAACTATGAAAGTTTATTGCAGTATATGATTGCAGTGGTAAGATTACTAGATGCACAGAGATAAAATAATTCCATGCGATTGGCAATGGAGGAATAGTTGCTATTTTATTTTTTAAAAACCCTAAATTTTAAAATGGTAATCGATACCAATTGATCCACTTATGATAATTTATGTGGCCAAACCATGAATATATTGTATATACTCCCACATATTTTCTTTTCTTTCCTCTTTTTCATTTTTGGCAAAGCAGCAAAGAAATTAAATATTATATAACATTTAACAGTACTAACTGAAGCTGTCAGATTGCAAACCAGGCAACTCCATACATTTTACATCTGCCATTGAACTGGAGATAAGGCAGCTACACCTATTGCTGCCCTTGTCACCCTTTGGTGATCTGTTCCTCTTTGCCCCTTTGTCTTTATTGTACCACCGAGCACTTTGCTATATATCAAACAGAGGGGCTGGATAGAAGAAAGAATATTAGTGGGAGACAGCACCAATGCCTTGTGGTATTGAGATATCTACAAACTGCAAGTCAACCTTGAGACAAGATGAATGCTATTTTCAGGCAAGCCACCATAGAAGTGATTTTAAAATGCTCTCAGTTTTATATGACATGACCCACTTGCATTAAGTGTAATTCCATTTCACACAGGAAGAATCCTCTATATAAAATCTGCTAAAAGACCAATATATTGGGCAGTGAAAACAGCGTGAGTGCGTGCACGCATGCACAAATGGTCTTCTGGAGAGATTCAAATAAATTATGTCACCACCAATCCTGCGTGTGTTATATATTTTGTCCCTGCTAAATAAAAATGGTACCCTTTATTGTAAATGAAAATTTGATTTAAAATGGCCAGACTACCTGAACAACTAGATTCATCAGGAGCAAAATCAATGCAATCTACAATTCCATCACAACGTTGGGAGACTGGAATACAGCTATTAGTCGATGGACACAACAAAGATCCATTGAAGCAATCTTTAATAGCTAAGTGAAAGAAAGAAAGAAAGAAAAAGAAAAAAGTTAGAAGTTCTTGTTATTTGGTGAAACAACATGCCAGTAAGATTTATAACTAATTATCACTATATATACTACGGGCCTTTGGAGCAAGTTCTTGTTTCTCCTCATTTTTCTATTCACCTTGGGTTTTAATCTTTCCATGAATGTGTAGAAAGTTTATTTCTGAGTATACTCCACTGAATTTTCTAATTTTGACAAGGAACAACTAATCCTCTAGGCTTGTGGGATACGGGAAAGATTTCTATTCATATTTTCAATGTGTGATCAGATATAATTGTACCAATCTCTTTGCATCATGTTGTTCCCACATTCAGGCTGCAAAAAGAAGCAAGACTGGATTGCTAATTCCACACAATAATTTGTAATGTTATCCTACCAACATAGTATTGAAGCGCGATCCAGTCCCTGTCCCTGTCAGACCCATTTTTTCATAAGCCATTCTTGAAGTGGAAGGTAAAAATGTTTCCAACAAGCAAATAAACAAATATGGAGAAATTATTAGGACTGTGCAAAAAATTGTATCTGCGTCATTTGTTGGATTAATTTTGCTAGAGTGATCAACTCTCTGTTCAAGAAGCTCTACTGGCTGCCATTCATCTTCCAGTCCCAATTCAAGGTGCAGGTTATTACCTATACAGCTCTAAACGGTTTGGGACTCTCCTACCTTCATGACCACCTCTCCTAACACAAATCTGCACTATCTCTTCAATCTTCCAGAGAGGCTTTTCTTTCACCCCTTCCTCTATCACAGGCTCAACTTGTAGGTACAAGGGAGAAGGCCTTCTCCGCTGTGGCCCCCCGCTTTTGGAACTCGCTACTTGGGGAGATTAGACAAGCCCCTACCCTAGCGGCCTTCAAGAAAGAGCTAAAAACCTGGCTCTTCTGATGTGCCTTTGGAGAGTGACCATTCAATCCACCTACAATTCGCCCTCATGATAAAGCTGCTCCCCCTTTATAAAGCCTAAACTCCACTGCTCCTCCTTTTTGGGCTCCTTTCTTACAAATACACTTTGTGCTTCTATCACTCCCAGGGTTTTAACCTTTTACCATTTTATCCCATAGATCTGGCCTGCCCATTGTGTTGATGATACTATGTTATGTTATACTGTTTTGTTTTATTTGTTATTTCATATATTTTGTTATGATTTTTTCTTGCTGTTTTGTGTTTAGTTATGTATTATTTTTGGGCTTGGTCTCATGTTAGCCACCCCAAGTCCCCTTTGGGGAGATGGTGACAGGTTATAAATAAAGATTATTATTATTATTATTATTATTATTATTATTATTATTATTAATATTATTATTAGTGTATATGATGAGATACTAAGAAATGTGGGCAGTGGCCACACAAAAAACTTAAGAATTGAAACTCTCACCCAGTACTTTTGCATAAGTTACTTAAGCCTCATAATTCTCTCCATGATTTATTTATTTATTTAAAACATTTATTTAAAACATTTATATTCCGCCCTTCTCACCCTGAAGGTGACACAGAGCGGAGCACAGCATATACACGGCAAGCATTCAATGACTGGCTACAATACATAAACATTAAAAAAAATTGTCGAAATATTAAAATACACCATTTAAAATATGATGCAGCTTTAATTCCAAGGTCAAGCAAACTGTAAAGGGAAGCAAAGCCATAATTGGTATGTCTCTCAGACTATCAAGGCTGAGGGAGGTGGGGAGGAGGAAGCAGAGCTGCAGCCATTCCCCTTTAAATTAAGGAGTGCCACAGGCTCTGTCCATTGTGAGCTGTGAGAGGAGAGGAGAGCAAAAGTGAGAGCAGGGCACCATGCTAGGCAAAAGCTAGGCATGCAGTAGGCTGAGCTACATTGAGAGAGTCTAGGAGGACTGAATGACTGACTGCTATTAGGAGGAATTCAGACTGCAGGGATCTTATATTTTATTTTACTTCTATAATTTAAATTAGCAGATTGATTCTGCTAAGGAGTGACTGCTTTTATTGTGTCAGGAATGACTTGAGAAACTGCAAGTCGCTTCTGGTGTGAGATAATTGGCAGTCTGTAAGGATGTTGCCCAGGGGATGCTCAGATTTTTTTGATGTTTAACTATCCTTGTTGGAGGCTTCTCTCATGTCCTTGCATGGGGAGCTGGAGCTGACAGAGGGAGCTAATCTGTGCTCTCCCCGGATTCAGACCTCTGACCTGTCACTCTTCAGTCCTGCTGGCACAAGGGTTTAACCCATTGTGCCACCAGGGACTCCTTAGAGTGACTGCTGGGAACAGAAGTTTTTATTTTTCCAAAACCATTCTGTGGGTGGAAAACTCTTCTCAGTTACAGCATTTGATGCTATCTGTGCTGGGGTGACTTGGATAACAATCCCAAAGCATTTGTTTTCCAATACCATTCTTTGTTTGGGAAACCTAGTTTAATTAAAGTACACCAGTTTAAAGAAAAGCAATCTCTTCTTGGTTATTGAATCTGATACTATCTGTGCTGGAGTGATTTGGGCAACAGTCCCAAAGCATTATGAAACTTTGCAGGGGGGTTAACACTGGTAAATGTTTTCTACAATTGTAGCAAGTTTCATCCTAATAGCTCTAAAAATGAGGGAGAAGCCTTAGAAGCTTCCCCATTTGAGCAATTACAAGAAGCCCTAGAAGCTTCCCCGTTTGAGCAATTACATAACGAAAAAGTAACAAACATTCCGTCACTTCGTTATAGTTACGATACAGACCCCCTTACGATATTTTAGAAACACTTTAGGAATGATTCGCCTCCCCCCACCCCAAACTTAGTAATGAATATTGAAACATTTTTTGTTGATCACGCACCTCTAGAAACCATACATAATCTGAATGTGTGGAAACATGTATTCCCAACAGATGCTCCACGATTGTGTGATCCTTGCAGAAATATGACAAATCTAAATGTTATGATGACTCCCCAAATCCTGCATACAATTTCTTCCCATTTTAATTTGTTTCGCTTTGCAAGATTGTGAGGGTGTTTTAGGAAGAGCAATGCCATTTTGCAATTATACAAGTTATGCAATTTTACACAACTTACCCATTGACTAATGCATGCATTTTATGAAGTATTTCCACTGTGCTCATTTTAGCAGTCTAGATTTTAAAATGTACTTATCATTTGTACACACCTTGTTTCTCCAAAATACCCCATAGGTGAGTTGTTGTAGGTTTTTCGGGCTGTATGGCTATGTTCTAGAAGTATTCTCTCCTGACGTTTCGCCTGCATCTATGGCAGGCATCCTCAGAGGTTGCGAGGTCAGAGGTAGTGACCTCACAGCCTCTGAGGATGCTTGCCATAGATGCAGGCAAAACATCAGGAGAGAATACTTCTAGAACATAGCCATACAGCCCGAAAAACCTACAACAACCCAGTGATTCTGGCCATGAAAGCTTTCAACAACACATTACCTCATAGGTGTTGTAAATTTCTCCAGCAAATTGCTTTTCTTCTCATGAAACTCAGTAGGTATGATACTGTCATCAAGATTGTAGAATCTTTAAAGACACTTTCCTTTCACAACCATGAAGTCTGATTCATACCATTCTTTTAGTTCGATTGCTATACTCACACTTCATGATGTGTGAACAAACTCCATTAAAAATATGAGCCGATTTGAAAGATCTCTGCATATAGTTTGATTTGGCATGGCTCTTTCATATATACAAGGAGTCGATGCTTAACAAAGAAATGTGCACACATTTGTGAATCTTGAGAATGCTCAGGATCCGGTAGTATCTTAATAAACAGGTTACTTGAAAAAGTTGACGTGGTACAACATTCTGCATGTGTGCCAGTGTTCACTTGACTTGTAGTAGGCATCCAGATGTATGAAAATTGGTTTGACATGTTTAAAGAGATAACCAATTAAAAACCCATATATTAGTAAACATGCATTGCTATAGCTTTATAACCTATCTGTGATATTTGGGAGAACTCAAATATCCATGTTGAACAACAAGATATCTACTTATTTTGTTTTGTGTGTAGCTGCTTTTTTGCATTTTTAAAAGTACAAAGAAAAAACCAAAACAACTAAGGCAATAATTTGGATTTCAAAACAAGAGGTACATATACTATAATTTAGTATAGGGATTTAATTTAGTACTACTAACACTATATCACTGGATGAAAATTTGGTATTATACCAATGTAAAGCACAAGCATTCTCCTGAAGTCATACAATAGTCACAAAATGGAATATTTATATACATGTAAAGCACAAACATTCTCTTGAAGCTATTCAATAGATATAAAATGGAATAGTTATCAGAGTACCAACAATACACTCTTCCAATATGTTATAGCAAAAAACAAAATATACTGTGCCTGTAATATATGTTATTTTTCAAGCAGATTACCATCAAACTGTAAATTTCAGTTATAATCTCTCACATCATCTAACCTCAAGGAACTCTAAAGGGATAATCTTGGGGGAGAAAGTATTAGCCTCTAACTAATTCATGATGGGATCACTGATCTATGGGATGTGACCTGAATGACTGTGCTTAGTCTTCCAGAAACTCACAACACCCAGTCATTAGAAGATTTACTTTAACTAATGAAACACTGTCTAGCATTTTCTGAGATTATTTCTATTCATCCTTGTTGCTCAAAAACCTACGGTATGACTTTTCCTTCTGATCAATTTGGGGTTTTTTGGAAAGTAATTTTACATTCTGACTACAGAATTATTAAAAAGAGCAAGGATATGGACAACTGGAAATAACCAATATTCAATAAGCTACTCAAAATATGCATAATAGCAACATGTTTTTAAGAGTTGAAATCACATACAGTGTGATCTTTGCATTCAAAGATCTATTACAATTCTGGTATAAAATTTACACACTTTGGCCTAATTAAAAGGTAGTAATTGTATGGATCTTCAGAGATGTTTACACTAAAAGTTCTTTCTTTTTTGGCTGTGCTTCATTGGCTATAATAATAATAATAATAACAACAACGAC